GGGTCGAATTTTGCTATCTGGACATTCAGAAGGCCTTTGACTCGATGAACCATCGATGTCTGAACCTAAGGATGGAAGCCCTAAAAGTTGCCCCAGGAGTTCTCCGCGAAACAAGGGCATATCTAACGAATAAACAGTTCTACGTAAAGTTCAAATATGGAAAATCAGGGCTGGCTCCTGCTACCAGCCGTGCTCCTCACGGCTCAGTTCTGGGGCCACTACTGTCCCTGACCTACATTAGCGACCTACAGCAGAGATTGCACTGTCCCGATTATTTGTTTACCGATGACCTCAAGGTAGTATGGTCTCCGGAATCACAGGAAGTCTAGAGGGATCTGGACCTTCTTCAAAAGTGGTCAACTGCTTAGGAGCTCCCAATGAATGTAAGTAAGTGCAAGCAGCTACTATTGGATCAAAAAACAGTGAAATGATGTTCTTGGTATCTTACGGTTCTCAATCCATCGACAGAGGTACAGTGATCCAGGACCTGGGTGTACAAGTGAACGAAAACTTTAAAACCTCTGACCAATATATAGCTCTTGAATCAAGGGCACATCGGGCACTGTTTCAACTCTTACGGACAGCAGCATCCAGAGACTAGAAAGTGTTGCTATCACTGTACAAAACTCTGGTAAGGCCGCATCTAGAGTATTGCGTTCAATCTTGGGCTCCAAGTTTAGTTCAGGAACACTAGAACGGGTACAACGCAGGTTTACTCGACTGATCGCTGGTATGAGAGGGTTGCCGTATGAAGATAGGCTAAGGAGCCTAAACTCATTCTCCTTACAACGGAGAAGACTACATGGTGACCTGATCGAGGCCTATAAACAACTAAAGGGGAGCTCGGTCACGAGCAGGGTTTTCCTCAGATGCAATGAAAACTCGGCTCTCAGAAGCTACGGGTGGAACTTGATGAAACCAAGGGCAATCAGAAACATTAGAGGAAAGTTCTTTGTTCATAGAGTAGTTAAACCTGGAATAAACTGGTTTTTGTGCCAACTTTAGCCCAATTTGAGTATAAGCTAGACAAAAATTGGGCGGCGGTGTTCCTAGTAGTAGCCTTGTAAACAGAGGCGTTTTATCCACGGTATGACCGTTCTAAGGCCCCGTGTGCTCTATCTCTTACATCTCTCAACGTTTAACCCTGTTTTTATTCCGCAACTGACAACTGACCGACGATAAGCTTGTTGCAGGCACGACGGTGTGCATGCAAGCAGATATGCATCGCTGTCCCTGCATTAGTGAAAGGGGCATCGTGGCATGAAGCAATTTCCTCCTTAAGTAGCACAAGCATTATGAAGGTCAAAGGAGACAGGTAAGGACGGTAAGCCTCATGTGTACCTCTTATCAGAACGACTGTGAGACCAAACGGCGGCACAAAATCTGATGCGTCCATACCTCACAAACAACGACTAACCCATGTTCCAGTGGTGTGGACGTGGTAGTCTCCCCCGGAACTCCACAGGTGAGTGGTAGAAGACCTGTAGTGAGCGGATTTGGGGACAACAAACCCAAATACTACTCACTGATGCATCCACTACTTCAACTGAGCACTGACCCTGTACCTAAGATGGACCTGAAGGGGAGAGGAGATGGAGAAAATAAGAGACGATTGGTAGAGGTTTAAATGGAATTAAAAGAGGCACGCACATTTTTCGACCAATAACGGATTGCAGCTGGGACTGATAGATGAGGGAACAGAAGGGCACCATACCGACCCCCACCATCGTCCTAAACCGGGTCTAGGCTGGGCCCTGGATGGACTGCAGCTGGTACGTTTTGCTGTGGAAACCCGAAAGGGTCAGCGATGCCACCGTGCTGTAGGTAGACTCAGATGACTCAATAGCCAAAAGAGTACCTGTTGTATGCCATTGCCATATGAAGTGCCTTGGAAACCTGGATGCCATTGGCTCATGAGCATATCCTAACGCGTGTACTGAAAGGTGAACATAGGAGACGCGGAGTCGTAGATGAATGGAAGTGCACTCAGGCAACTTAGACGACGGACCATAGATTAGCGCCAAGCTGAACCGGGACCTCTTGGAAGGCTTTCACCTACCATATCTTCCACTCTACATTATCCCATGCTTACTCTTATATCTTCTGCACAAGCTTCTTTTGCAGCCTGCTGGGTATATCCAAATCCTCATATAATTAGAAAACCGTTTAGGGTGTAGCATTGCCTCCTCCCAGTGGCCGCTCAGCTAGGTGCTTACCTGTACTGCAGACACTCCTATTTTCTTTTTCTGCGGGCAATACCTTTAGCCTTGAGCTGAATCAGCTACAGAAGTAGCACTTGAACCGAAAGCTACCCAAGTGGGCACCGAGGAGCCCAAAATCGGCTCGCAACGGATTCTCTATTGTCGAAACACACGTAGGCAAACGATACGCTCACGGCGCAAGAACCTGGACTCAAACTGGTGTCAGCCGTGAGTCCTGTGAATTGCTCTGACCTGACCTTGATCTGGCGCGTGGTTTGAAAATTTGAAACTCTCCTCTGGTAACTTTCGACCTTGTTCTTACAAAATATCATTTGACGCTTCACGTTTCATCGAAGTTATAAAACCCTTCTTGCTGGCGTAAATTAATTCTGTAGTTTCGCTGTATTTTACTCAAAGTAGGTTAAACGCTTTTGTATGCCTTGAATGTCATGTTTCGTACACCTTATCCATTGCGTAATCCCTTTTTAGAGCTTGTGATAACATTTTTAATTGTTTTATGATTATTTTAGGCATTACTAACATGACGCGCGTGTCTTATTCATGCTTTAATTTATCTTGTGGTAGATGGGTGGTTATAGGTATAGAATACAGCATATGCGAGCACTGGGCATACAAAACATTCTTAAAGCCGTCAAGCGAGCTATACAAACTATACAGCATTTACGGGGATCTTCCGTGAATCTGCAAAGAATGCCGAAAGATTTCACAATCTGCATTAGAAAGCAGCTAAAACTCTTCGGATAATGATGGTGACACGCAGGAGCAAACGCTACTCGTAAGCGGGACGTCAATCAAATCGCCACCGTGTCAGTCAACCAACGCTACACGGAAAACACCACCCGGCCATAAAAATAAAATGTCGCTTCTGAGGAGCCCTTTGGATCACTCAACACCCAAGACCCACACCGTGAGCCAAAAAATGACTCGCAGCGGCATCTAACCTGAATCAGCTAAATGCCCGGATTGGAGCAGAGAATACAAGAAACTACACAGGGTCAATCAACAGTTGTCCCTCAGAACCAAACTTTCGGGAAAAAACAAAACAACAGTTCCACAAAACCAACCACACATGGATCAGTTCGTCAGCCGGTTCGACGTGCAGGCCAATTAAATCGAAACAAGACAAATCTTAAAGGGATCCGAGAAAACGGAAGAAACCCCAAGTCCAAAAATAACGGCCGCATAGCACATCCGCAACCCACAGGATTTCAATTGGGTGCCCCACCCAATGGTTTCAAGGCAGCTGTCGGTCGGCTCGAGAAACTAGCAATCAGAATTGGCTTGCAACGTGCAAAAGCAGCCCACAGAGATCCAGAGGCTCCAAGCGTCCTACGAGTTTACCCTAGGCAGGACGTGCAACGTGATAATCTACGCTCCTGAGTCAGTCATTTTCAACATGGCTCACGGATAGCCGCAGAGAAAACACTCATTCTGTGTGCTGCGCAACGCCGGCTGTCACTCCAAAATGATATGGAAACTCTTGACCACCGATAAGGAAATTGCCGACTCATTCCTCGCCTAATTTCAACAGATCTTTTGCCTGGATAACTTGAGTAACTATCCTGCCCTCGACCGAGTGAGTGACATGCCAGATCTGCTGATCTCTACACTGGACGTGGAAAGTCTTTAAGAATATTACAACCTCCGAATCCGCGGGGCTAGATAATATTTATTGAGCCATAATAAAACCGATAGAATCCCTAGTAACCCCCCAACTAATCACAATATTCAACGACTCTCTGGACACTGGCCGGGTTCCGGTGGATGGGAAACATGCTACAATCTTCAAAGGGGTTACCAACCGGATCCGTCCAACTATCGGCCAATCTATCTCACCAGCATCGTTGCTAAGCTCCTGGAGCGCATTCTGCCACACTACATAAATGCACACCTTCAAGTCGGTTTCTTTTGCGACGCCAAGCACGGATTCATCCAAGGCAGATCTTGCCTAACAACTCTGTAATGTTTCCTGGACGCAACAACACAGGAACTAGTTGAGGGAACGGAAGTCGAGGTGTGCTACCTAAACTTTCAGAAAGCATTCGACTCAGTTAACCACAAGTTTCTAAACTTCCAGCCACGGAAACTGGGCTTAATCCGAAAGCCTATAACTGAATTAGAGAGTTCTTGTCCGAGCGGACATACAGGGTGTGGGTGCGGGGATGTCTGTCGAAGGTGGGTTCCACCACAAGCGGGGTCCCACAAGAATGTATTCTAGCTTTCCTTCTTTTTCTAGTGTATGTGAACGACAACGTCAGAGCTGGAGACCCCTGCTTTTGTACGCGGTCGACATCAAGTTAGTTGGAAACCCGGACTACAGGTACTCCTTGCAGAATGATATCTTGAAGATATGCGAGTGGTCTCAAAAATGGACCTCCCACTGAACGCATTGAGGAGTCACCTTCTAGCTGAAATAACCCAGCCCGTTCCCCGACAGATCCTCACTACGGACGGAGCAAACCTAGCTTACAAATCAGAGCCAATGGACCTCGGGATAAGAGCCTCCAAAACATTTTCCCCACTGTCTACCGCTGGAGCAGCGCCAGCATCCAGAAGAGCTCTGTTTAGACAAAAGGCAATCACAAACCGTTGCTCTAGTGTATTTATACCCCTGTACACAACCATCGTAAGGCTTCACCTCGAGTACTGTGTTCAGACCCGGGCATGATATCTTCGGAAAGACATCAAAGTTCTAGAAGACATTCCACAACTAGCAGCCCGAGGATCTGGGGTTAAAAGAACTCAACTACTCGGAAAGACTACAGTTCCTAAACCTCTTTTTTCTAGAACGCCAACGGGTGAGAAGGGACCTCATTGAAGTGTACAAAGCCACCGGGAACAGTCACCCATTGAACACTTGTTCACTTTGCGGGCCAACAGCAATCTCTGAGGGCACTGTTACACACTTCAGATAACCAGGAGCAGGCTAGAAATTAGATATCACTCCTTTGCAAATAGAGCAGTCCCTGCATGGAACAAACTACCAGCTCAAATAGTTGAATGCCCCACAATGAATAGTTTCAAACTACAGCTGAAAAAAGGATGGTATCCCTTATTCCCAGGTCTGCCCTAGGGATCAGGGTTCTTATATTTTACTGATGAAATGCGCGTAACAGATACTGCGCCGCCTCTCTTTTCCTTCTACCTTCCAGATATAACCCTCTTTGTGGAGAGTTGGAAGAAGTATTACACTTGTAGGCGAGTCGGTCCACGGACGGAACCCACCATCACCAGGGTACCCAACAGGTGAAGGCCTCTCTACGTCTTGTGATTTGAATTTGATCTGACCTGACATTGCAGGTACGTTTGAATTTGGTTGTATTCCTCGCTGCTTTGAATATCAAACAGATTTTCAGTGTGTATTTGTCATTAAATTTTCCATAGCAATTTACTGGCACCCGTGTATTAATATTAATAATACTAATAATAATAATATGTACTTCACGAATCCCGTGAAGCATGCACAGAGCACGATCATATGATCAAAATAGTCATATGTACATCAAAGGTGCAGATATATAGAAGGTCCAATCAGAAGATATACACAATGGAGACGGCGTGGGACCGGAATGAAAGCGCAGTGCAAATGGAACACAAAGTGGATAAGGTCACATACGTTGATTTGGAGGATGGAGGAAATACACTGGGTGAGCATGTCAAACTTAAAATAAAGGAATAGCGAACCTAGTATCGAGAGGATTTAACGTGCGGAATTAATGGGAGGAAAACACGGATAAATTTTCTATGAGACTAAGAACGGGAGGAGATGGAGACTCGTGGATAGAAATGAATGGAAAAGAGGGATACAGCAAGTTTATACAGTTCTGCAATACATGTTTCTCTGTCAGCTGCATAACAGCTTGCTTCTGAGAGCACATTCATTTGGGTTTCACGGCTTCAATAGGCAATGGATTGATTCAATTTAGGCGTTGGTCGCTTTGATGTGGGACTGACTATACGCTAGACACCCAAACTTAAAACGCCTTTTAGGTGAGGCAGGGGGTGTGATCCTCAACCTGGTCCGGAATGCGGACGCATGGAGTCTGAACGGCGGATACAACCGCACCCAACAACCATTGCCGGAGCCAACTTGTCCATTGTGGGTGCAGACCCCAAGCCTTCGTCAGGCCCAAACCAACCGATTCTGGAACGAGAAGGCGATACACAACAGTCTAGGATGATACCCAGCTGAGAAGGAGGGGAGAACAAAACATGTCACGAATAATATGCACTGTGGAATAATGCCAAAACGTATGTGTACCTACGAAGATATATATATATATATACAGAATCCAAGACGTAATAGGTCGAAAGCATGCACCTACGGGGAATTCGTTCCACAGATCTAGCTTTAAGACTGCATCTGCGTGCTGATATGAACTTGTTTGAGAAAGTGGACACTGCTACCTGGTGAGCATGTGCCACAGGGAAAATATCAGTATGATATCATTTTTTGAATTTTTAAGCGCACAGGTTGGGAGTAAAATTTTAGTATCGTTTCTTTTGGCCAGTTTTCTTGGAATTTCATCTTAATCCTGATACAAGTGTTACCAGTCATTTTTATTTATTGAATTTCCAGAGTATACTCTGAAATGTCCTTGCATATCGATTTTATTCTTAGTGTAGCATGTTTAAGGTTGCCTTTCCTGGTTTGTTTACCGCAAGTGGAAAGAAACAGGTTAGGGGAATAGAATGTGGTGTATGTAAGCGTTGGGCACCACAAAGGTGCTCTCAAATTAAACCGGAAAAGTATAGCCTCTTCTGTACGTACTCAGACTTGAGGTGGAAGTGTACAACATGTAAGACTACAACGCCGCTTGCTTCCATTGCTGATGCGAGAGGCGAGGAGCAAACTCCAAAAATAGTCAATAAACAAGAAGCCACAGGATGAAGGGTAGTTGGGAGCGCTACTCTGAAAAGCTGTGCTGGAGCTGTGACCACGTAGGGAAGTGTCAGAGGGTGTACGTCAATTAATTCGCACTTGAGTGATGCGTAGCCGAAACCGATACAAATCCCGAAATAAAACACGATTGATCCGTAATGTTATGCAATACTGAATTGAAAAAAACGTTACAAAATGTACAGCAAAGCAAACCTCAAATATGCGGCCAAAAGCACTCAAGCAATCGAGAACCAAATGGGATGTCCAACAAGGGCCAACAGGTCGATCAAGTCCTCTATCCACGTCAAATTGAAATGTGGCGGGTATAGAGTCAACAGATAAACAATTGTGTGGGGGTGTATATGACGGATAATGCGTCAATAACCAAGTACCGTAAGAACAGAGTCAGCTGTAATCATTGTGGTATGGGAAGGAATTTTATAACATTACCGTGAAATACACCGGCCCCCAAAATCCTTCCAGCGCTGGTCTGGGTCAAAGAGTTGGCGCAGGTCATTGATTCTTGTCTACCTATCTACCTACCTAGTTCCTGGTGTTGTGCTTCTATCTACTAACTGTTCAACCCTCGCCGCATTCGTCGATCTTGACCTTCAATGACTTTCACGTTCCTTCGTCGAGATCTGCCCTCTATAGCAGCAAGCTAGCAATCAGTCACACCATAAAGATAACAGTGGGTCAAATTTCTATCATTACAGCTACAGTCTCGATGTATAAATAAGGGGTACATATGGATGGCGTGATTGTTTTTCGTTTGTACGAATGAAATCATGTTCAGCATGAGGGGATAGTGTGCGCATGAATGGATGAGTGTTGTGAGGACATGGGTCACACCTTTAAGGTTCATATTATAAGTGGTGTGTCAACCAGAAAATAAGTAGACACTCGGTCAAGAAAATGGGATAGACGGGACGTGTGGTATGGGTGTGGGAAACCTGCATTGCCCTGGTGGGGTTACTATCTTTGGGAGGCAATTTATACAATAGAGCAGGTAAATCTATACACGGCATTTCACCACAACTTAACTTAACTCACTTAACTGCATCGTAACCATCTCCCTCCGATAAACACACTCATCTAATGTCGTACACGTGTTCGCGGACAGAATTTTTCAATTTCACCGTTCGCACTAGTCCATCTGTGTCCGGGTGGCTTTCTATGATGACGCCCAGGGGCCAGTTGTAGAGTCGAAGCTTTTCTTCGNTTTCTTCGGCCATAAGGACAACGTCTCCAACTTTCTGCGACCGTTTTCTATGAAACCACTGCTGACGGGCTCGAAGGGTTGGCAGGTACTCTCTTGTCCAACGGTTTCAAAATACCCCTGCCACGTAGTTCGCAGTCTCCCAATCGGAGGTAAAGCAGACACTGATAGTTTTTGGCATATCTAAGCCGGTATTGGTTCTCAGCAGCAGGTCATTGAAGGTTAACGTCATTTCTTGCCTGTCATCGCTGTTGACGGGTACAAGCAGTCGGTTATTGA